CATAATCTTTAAAGCTCTCATTGGAAGCCATAGCCAAACTCTGTAGCTGAGTACGGGTAGGTGCCAAGTCGGCATTATATTGATATTATTTATAGAAGGCTGCTGCCAGGTCTTCCCAATTGTGGACATCTTCCCTCTCTAATTGGTAGAACCAATCAAGTTGCGTTCCTGATAAACTGTCTTGGAAGAAATGGACCCACAAGTCTTTGTTAGCAGAATGTGGTTGAATCTTCCTGGCATAGGATCTGAGGTGCATTTTAGGGAAAGACACCCCATCATACTTGGCAAACAGTGGCACTTTAAACTTTAGAGGGATTATAATTCCTGACACCAGCCCTAACTCCTCAAAATCTAGCCCCGGTACTCTCTGGATTTCCATAGCGCTTAGTCGTTCTTCAAGGTGTTTATATTTGTCATCAACCGGAGGGTATTGTTGTTCAGAGTAGTCCTCCTCTTCCTCTTCTTCTTCTTCAGAATCTGATGGTACTGCCACTCCTTTTCCTTTTCTTTCCCCTTCTTCAGATGTTGTTGGGAATTCTAAAGTCCTTCTGGCTTGTCCCTGAAACCTTCTGCCCATGATAACCACACCAGCTGGCTTCTTCTTCTTTTTCTCTTTCTCTTTCTCTAGCAGAGTCTTCAGTTCCTTCTGCCCCTTGGCTAAGGTCATGAGCAATTGTTGAAATTATGATTTCTGAGCTTGCAGATCTTTGACCGTTTGTTCAAGATCCATCTTGCGGAAATAAACAGCGGAGAGATGAGGTAAAATGATGTTGCACATCCTCTTTGGTGCAATGTAGGTTTTGAGAGTCTGCTCTTTGTGAAGTAGCCGAGTGAGTTCCAAAACCTTCTTCTCGCTTGCGTAGAATTGGGCTTCGAAAGTATCGCGCTCTCCTTTGAGTTGTATCCAACTCCTTTGTAGGTCTTCGAGTGATGTTGGCATTTCAGGATGTAGGATGGTGTATGGAACCCCTCCTTCCTTAACAGGCTCTATAATCACTGGGAGAATGGAGGGATAAGGCATCATAAGACTTTGGGCGTGGGTTCGTACCCACTTGAGGTAAGGCTCAAGAGGGATGGAATTCTTGTGTCCCAAAATTTTTCTATCCACCTTGTTGGGCATCCTCCAAGCTCAGATGAATCTCTGACAAAGTCCTTGATCGTTGTTGTCGTAGTCAAAAACCAATCCTTGAATCAGCATGTCATGTGGGCCATCCCTTCGGGCATAACCAAACTGTCTTAGAGCCAAGCAAGGGTTGTAGGTGATGCCTCCCCTAATGCCAAGTAGAGGGACATTAGGAAATTCCCCACAACAGTCAACGATGATAACATTCTCTTTGGATCGAGAACACCAATGGATATCTTAATGTGTAAGCGTCATCAACCTTTGTGACCACCTCAAACCTTGCTCATTCTTCAAGACTGATTGGGGAAGATGAGAAATAAACCATCTTTCCAGGAGAGGAGTGCAACATATAAGAACACCTCTTTTCCTCATTGTACGAGTGTGAAAAGAGTGGAGGATATCCCCAAGAAATGTAGGCACCGGGTTGCGAGTCATGAAGATTTTGACAGCACTCACATCTATGAGTTGGTCAGGATTAGGGAACAAGACCATCCCATAGATGAGAAGAGCTACAATCTCCTCAAAAGCTTGCAAGTATAGGGAATTCCAACAGCTTTGGGCCTTCTCAAACAGAAACTTTGACAAGAAGCCTTTGACACCACTTCTAGTTTCCCAATGAGTTGTGACATCAGATGAGTGCAAGTGCAAGGCTTGAGCAATCTCTTCTGGCTTTGGATCTATTTCCGTACCGTTGAAGGGTAGTTGATTGAGAATAGGAATCCTCAGAAGTTGAGAGAATTCTTCCAAAGTGGGCACAAGTTTATAATCAGGAAATGTGAAGCAATGATGCAAAGGGTCAAAGAACTGGAAGAGAACTTTCATCATATCCTCCTCTGTGTTGGAAGTGACCAAGTTGAGTAGATGACCATGCCTCTCGATGAATAGAGAATTCTCAGGAATCCTTGAAGCTAGCTCCTTGAGTTGTGAAGGAATTCTTACAAGGTTGATTTGGATAGTTTTCCTGCGAAGTGAATCCATAACCTACAAAACAAGAACAAAGATGAATCTCCAAAATCCTTGAAATGGTTAGTGAATGCAAATGATGTTCATGATGTCCATGATATTATGCACAAGTATATATGTATAAACAAATCACACAAATTCCTAGTTTAGGCTTGCATGGGGTTTCATAGGTAAGTACCCTCTTGAAGTTTAGTTGGCTCAACCTGTCCTAGAAATAGTAATCGGGTTCTAAGAAGCTCAATATCACTGGTTTGTTTTCTTTGTTCATAGTTTCAGTTCAAGCCTCTTTACTAGCGACCGAAATATCCCAAGAAACCAACCCTCAATGAGTGTAGTATCGAGTATCTACCAACTTCGGACTGCACCAAAGCCGGTCATCTCACTACATCCTAAAAGGCCAAGTTGGTCAAGTAAAGGTTATAGAAGCTCATTAGTGCTTCATGACATCACTCAGCAGCCCCGTATTCTCTTTGATTGACTCAAAGGCTACCGGTACCCACAAATATGTCACACTAACATAGCTATTGCTTAGACCATGTCGGTATACCCCGCACAGTTTCCATACCGTATTGCTATTTACCTATAATGTTTCCTAAATCCGGGTGGAGGATTCAAACCCAAACAATAGAACCAAAATGTAAAGCAAACAAGTCAAACAAGGTAAGCATGTAAAGGTGATCTAAACCCTAAGGTAACCCCACTTTTAGAATATCCCCAGCAGAGTCGCCTGTTCTGTGATGCGGTGGGAGAACTGACTTGAGGTTTTGCGTTTTTGTTTGCAAATGTTGCGGTTAGCAAGATTTGCCACCGACTTTTCTTTTATCCAAAAGGAAAGGTAAAAAAGCACAGGAAAGACCTTTGAGATGCTTTCTTGAGTTCGGGGGGTAGATTATGAAAAGGGAAGGTGCTAGCACCCTTTTAATCCATGGTTTTCCATGGTCTCTTAGTTACTTGTTTAGATCACTTGCTTTGCTTTGTTTTGTTTGAAATGGTGCTTGGTATGGTTTTGAAAGTATTTTGAAAAGAGGCCACTCGTTTAGGCAACCTTTGTAATGATTCTCGTTTGTAAGAATGTATACAAAGATGTTTGTCTTTTGAAAATGTTTTCAATGTTTTGAAAAAATGTTTTGAAATGTGTGTGTTTGTTTGAAAGTAGCAAGGATTGTTTTGAAATTGATCAAGTAACTAGAAGTTATCTACCTACTTGTAGTGGTGAAAATCGGAGATCAAGCTATTAATTAACTTGACTCACAAAAGCAAGAGTCGCCACCGCGCTTTATTATTTCCAAGGGAAAAGGGAAAAGAGCGAAATAAAACCCTAAAATATACAATGTAAAATAATACTTAAAAGTAATAAAAATACAATGCGTTTTTGAAAGAGATCGAGAGTTCGGGGGTTGGTTATACAATGGGAAGGTATTAGCACCCAATGCATCTGCAGTACTCCGCAGGAACCTTTTGAAATATCTGTTTTTTGGTTAAAATTGTTTGTTTGATTAAAATGGTTTATTTGGTCAAAATGGGTATGGACGAGATTTTGAAGATACGACGACCTCGTGTCGAAGTTTTGGTTTAAAAAGAGTGTATGTTTGAAATTAGGTTTTGAGGAGATTTAACTTAAGATTTACAAAATTAAAAATGTATGAAGGGGTTCACACAATCGTATTAGATACTCGATGATATGAAGTCAACAAATTAATTATTTCTCTTGGATTTTAGACGGACGAACAAAATAAAATGGATGTCAAAATATGAACATTCGAAAATTCACAAGGAAATAAATTGAAAGACCCCAGAAATTAAAATGACGAAGATATTTAAAAGAGAATGAAACCAATTATCTAAATTCTAAGATCACTTACTAAAATAATTCTGAACTGATTATGAATTCTAAGGTTATAAAGAATAATTCTAAAATTACTAAATTAGGTATAAACTAAATTAAAATTCTAAAGTTATTAAGTTAAATCTAGACTAATTAAAGAATTCTAAATTGATATTAAACTAAATTAATTATAAGATTACTAAAATAATTCTAAACTAAAATTATTAAAATTTGTCTAATTGAAACTACATGTTTCTTTCTAAGAAACTAACTAACCTAATTTAAATAAATTTAACTAAGGAAATAAAACTAAAATAAGTAGCATGGGGGTATCAAACCAAAAAAAAGAGGTGTAATGAGATAAGTAAAGAATGGAAGGAAACTCAATTGGACCCAAAGCCCAAAAAACAAACTAACCCTAATTTCTAACTAATGATATACAAAAAATAATAAATAAACAAAATGAGATGATAAGATATAAAATAAAGTAATAAATAAAATAAATAAAAAAAGGAATAGAAGAACAATAACCAGTGGTAAGCTCCAAATTCTTCACGTGGCAGCATACTGAAGAAAAAATTTCTTTTGACTTTTCAAAGCTTTGTAACCTTCATTTATCGTCACTTTCTCACTTGATTTTCAATGAGGTAATTGTTGTTTGAACTTCTGTAAATTGAAATCTTGAGATCGCATAACCGTAAACCATTTCGAACGCACATTTTTAGATATTAGCTCTTTCGTTTTCTTCGGTTGAGAGATGAGAAGTGTGTCGATATCATTATTTTGGAGCTGAAGAACAAAATTATCGTGTTAGAATCGAAACAAATAGGATGAAGCATTGAGGCGTTGATTCATGAGCAAACATAGCCTCGAAGAAGAAGAAGAGGTAGCAGTAGAGATGTGAGACGGAGCACATCAAATTGAGGCCGGTGACTGAAGGTGTTGTTGGTGGTTGAACGGCGGATGAGCAGTAGATGAGGTAAGCCAAGACTTCTCTATCTTCGGTTGAGAGAGCAGCGGCTAGGGTGAGTTACAGTTTGGGAGACAAACTTATAAGCTACAGATTCATGGATGGAGGTGTTTTGATTATCAAACAGATTCTGCTGGTTTATCCTTGGGAGCGGAGGACGATTCAAGAACCAAATCACCGATTCCCTTGGGAGGACCGATGCTGCATCGAGCTGTGTTATGTGTCACGATGGCATCCTTTATTTTTTTGAAACTTGTCAAGCGAACATGAAAAAGATTCCAGCTGCCCCTCAGCCCCTCTATAAAAGTGGAAGTAAGGAAGTACTTTAACATTCAGACTTTTGCACATTGGTTTATTCTCGTCAAAATTTACTTTCAGAAAGAACAATTTCAGGGTTTTCTTCAGCTGTTCTGCATAGCTTAGGGAATAACGCTCGGTAAGAAGCACACCAAGTCCCATAAATTTCAAAAATAACTAGTCTATCCTCAGCTTGACTCAAAGCATTCAGAAATTCTTATGTGGAGTGAATGTCAACCATGTTTGGTGCATTCTTTTCCCACCACTTTGGCTGACCATTTTCTCCAACAGCTACACATACTTTGAAAGGAAGCAATTGTTTTCTGGATTTGAAATGAGATTGCGGTGGCAGAGAGAAGAGGCTCTTAGGTGGAAGCGGTGGGAGAGTAGTGAAGAAAGAGGGAGATGGAAGTCGGAGAGATTGAAATTGTAATCGAATAATATGAACATGTGCCATTTATACACAAGACAAGTAAAGAGAGTAATAGTGATATATATAATAATACTATGCTATGCTAGGAAGAGGAACAAGATTGAATTTGATAGCACATGAGATGAGATGATGAGAGAAGAAGTGTGTTTGAATTGAGTGGATAGGTTGTGATGATGTAGTTTGTGCGCAGCTTGCAGAAAGGAGGATGGTGAGGATGATAATGATTGTTCCAACATGATGATGATTTTGTGAGATTTGAAAGATGTGGGTAGGGGTCGTTTTGTTCTGAGATGTGGCCATTGTAAAGGGTTAGAGAGCTGAGAGTAAGAAGCTGAGTTTGGTTATATCTCCTTTCAACAATGGATTGCAAAGGGGTTGCTTTTCCGTGAAGATCGAAAGCCATGGAAAGTGGAGTGTTTGCTTTTTCTTTTCTTTTTTGGTTTGTTGTCTTTTTGTTGTGTGTGTCTTATGTATGTGTGTTGGGTAATAGATGAAAGGGTGTATGGTGGTGTTTTTTTTTGACAGAAAGTGAAGGAAGTTATATGTGGAGAGAGGATGGAAAAATAAAAAGAAAAAATATGTTGGGCATTGGATGTATGCAGGCGGGAGTTTTTTTATTGTGGGGGGAAAGATTGTGTGGATTGAAAAATATGAGGGAGAGTTGGTTTATGGTGTTGTTCTTTCTCTTTTCTAATTTATCAATCCTGCACTACCTCTTGCAACCAATTAGAAAAAAGAATAGTTTAACAAAAAAATTAATGATTAAAAATCCCTCTAAAAATAAAAATGACTTAAAAACCTGAAAGTGTACAAATTAATGCAATTTAAAATATATTTTTTGAATTTTTCTGAATAAAAAAATAAAGACCCAAAGTGACCGAAAATGATAAAAAACGGACGAAAATTTATCCGAAAAAATAAAATGAACACATTAAAATAATCTACATGTCACAAAGATTAAAGAAAAAATATTCAAGAATTCAAAAATAAAATGATAAAATATCAGGCTAATACGGACATTTATGGTTAAAAACGAGACTTCAAACTATATCGAAAAAATAAAGCGAGCATACCGTCATAATCTACGCGTCATGCAGATTCATAAAATGATCGGTAAGAGGTGAAAACTTGAAATATTTTTCTCGCTATCTTTTCGCACAATATTGAATCGTTTTTAACAGTTTGTCTATAAAACCAAAATATTTTTATTATCAACATACAAACAACTTGGAGCAATGCAAGAAAATAGTAAACATATAAAAATGAATGAAATGAAATGTCGGGTATTTTACAACTGAAAGACGATGCAAACTTTGATTTAAACTGACTTTTTTCTGGTCAACTTAAATACGACTAATGATGCAAAATGTGATGAATGAAGATATTTACTAATGATTGTGACCAAATGACAAAATATGGTATGAATGTGCGACTGAAAAAATTAGGGGCGAAATTAAGGGTGCAACAGTTGTGCCTTGATGAATCAGTCTTCGAGAATCCATAATCAACCGTACTTTTGGCTTGGGAGACTCAAAACCTTAATTGAGGCGCGACACCTGATGCTCTTGATTCAGACCTGTCTCTGCACATGACACAAAAGAACACATGAACATACACCTTTGTATGCGATTAGAAATTAGTGATACATATGCTAAAAATGTTCAAAACACTTGACAATATTCGCATAGTCAAAGCTCGAAGGTGAGGCGTTAAAACCGACCGTATTTCGTGACCTTGACTTATCTTAAAAATGCAAAAAATAAAAATGGGATATTAGGTCAAAAATTGGGGTACAACAGCTGCCCCTGTTTAAGTTTCTTCTATCTGGAGATATGAAGATTGGGATCTTCATTTCGACGAGATTGAAGGGACTTAAATATAGAATACACAATTTTTGGCCTTAAGATACCGCGATTATGTTCATGATATGATATGAATGTAATGCTCTGAATTTTATGGGGAATGACGCCATATGAGACAGACTATGCTGGAGAAACCAAACACATTATACAGTAATCCCACATAGGAAGAGGTTGTAACTCCACTGGGGAAACAAAGTCATAGACTTCAAATGAGAGACTCTTGAATGATTTACATCAGTGTTGAGACTAAGAAAGAAATGATTTACATCAGTACGAAGATTGGAAAAAGAAATGATTTTTATCAGCACTGTGGCTGGAAGACAAAATGATTGACATCAACACTGTGGCTGGAAAACAAAATGATTGACATCAGCACTGTGACTGGAGAATAAAATGATTGACATCAGCACTGTGGCTGGAGATAAACATCTCTGATTTCTGAATTTTACCAAGAACGGTAACACATTTCTTCTTTAACCAAGATATCGCTTGAAAAGGATAAAATAACAAACTTCCCCACGGGACTTTTCCGAAGGGATGTCATTTGCTGAGTAGACATTATTGTTGGGGGATACACAAGCTGCTCAAATAAAGAGGCCGCCACTTGCTATCTTTCAAAGGTGACAATAACATACAAGTTGCTCATGAAGAGGCTGCCGCTTGCTGTTTTTTCAAAGATAACAATAACACGCAAGTTGCTCATGAAGAGGCCGCCGCTTGCTGTTTCTCGAAGATATTAATAACATACAAGTTGCTCGTAAAGAGACCGCCGCTTGATGTTTTCAAAGGTGACAATAACACACAAGTTGCTCATGAAGAGGCCGCCGCTTGCTGTTTTCCGTACAAGCTGCTCATGAAGAGACCGCCACTTTCCGTTTTTAAAAAAGTGTTGATAACATACAAGTTGTCCATGAAGAGACTGCCGCTTGTTGTCTTCGAAGAAAAATAACGTACAAGCTGCCCATGAAGAGACTGCCACTTGCCGTTTTCAAAGAATATTAAAGCACACAAGCTACTCATGAAGAGTCTGCCACTTGTTGCCCATAACTCACAAGCTGCTCATAAAGAAACTGCCACTTGCCATTTTCTGTACAAGCTGCTCATGAAGAGACCGCCACTTGCCGTTTTCAAAAAGTGTTGATAACATACAAGTTATCCATGAAGAGACTTCCGCTTGCTATTTTTAAAAGTGTTGATAACATACAAGTTGTTCATGAAGAAACTGCCGCTTGATGTTTTCAAAGGTGTTGATAACATACAAGTTGTTCATGAAGAAATTGCCGCTTGATGTTTTCAAAGGTGTCAATAACATACAAGTTGCTCATGAAGAGACCACCGCTTGCTGTTTGTCAAGAGTATCCATAACACACAAGTTGCCTCATGCAGAGACTGCCGCTTGCTGTTTCCCAAAAAGATACCCATAAAATATCGTGAAGATATTGCTGGAGGTGAGAATCAATAATTTCATCGAGGATGGACAACCTGCTCATGAAGAGACCGCCATTTGTCGTAGAGAAATCAGAAATAATCAAACTGCTCGAATAAAGAGTCAGTCGCTTGTTGTCACGTCGATATTTCAGAAGAATGTTATGATAACACTGCTGGGGAATAAAGTTCATCTTCAATGGAGAACCATGAGTAAATCCTTCTTGAGGAGACCAAGTATTTACATTGCAAAATAAATTCACTTTCCATCTAGGTTTCACAGCCTAGAGATACTCACAAGGTATCGTTCACAAGAGACAAAGCTCAATCCAGGAATAAACTGGGGAGAAAACAGTCAAACAAGACTCCACCCAATGAGGAAACAACTCAAATGGGGATTTATCCTATCCCGAGATGGAAAAGGAAAGCTAAAGCAAGATTCTTCCACGAGAGTTAACTCAGTGGGGAATTAGAAAAGAGGCGCACTTTCTGCGTAAGTTGACACTCTATTTGGAAAGATCAAATACGCTATTTGAATAGACACAATCAAGATATACGAACTCAAAGACATCAACAAATAAAAATGTGCGTGCAAGATGCAAGTGTATATGAATCTCATGTATATGTTTGACAAAACAGATAGAAGAGATAAGCTGGAGATGATAAGACATCATAGCACAACCCAACACTCGGCTAATCTCAACAGGATGGTAACATTACTGGAGATAGAAAACAAAAGCCACCATTGGAGCGAGGTCCTTTTACAAGGCTCAAATCTCTTTGGAGAGGAAGATATTTTCAGGTAGAAAACCCAAAGTCCAGTCTTCTATTGCAAACAATACATTGAAAGGATAACAACACAAACAAAGTTTCAGTTGGGAAGAAGTCTTGCTTAGCTGGAGATACGGGGAACACCACCCTCTGATAATGTATGAAAAACATATCTTGACAAATCTGGATTGCCCCTGGGATTAATTTTGGATGCCCCAAGTTTACTGCTGATAAGCTGCATGATGATTCTTACGAATAACTTCACTTCTAACATGCCCCAAGCTATCTGGTTGATGAAGAGAAATCGTCTCAAGAGGATTTTACAAAAGACCTGGCATTCACCATGCTCTGGTGTCTTCAAACTCTTAGAGGAATTCATCAAATCTCGACGTGATTGCCCCGGATTGACTGTAGTCGGCACAACAAAGTCTTCGAATTTTTGCCCCAAACGAGCAAACAAGTTGGGAAAAGCATTAACTGGGAGAAGCAACATGTTCGTGCTTATGGTCTTCAGGTGACATGCCCCTGCATATGATTTTTTCTTGACGTGATCCGCCAATTATTCAACATAGTTTCAAGCCTTAAAAGAATAAACTCATCACTGGTGCTTATATGTGAGCTTCCTTGATATCAAGCAAATGTTTTGCAGTTAGAAAAAGTTTATTATGAGAATGAAAATTCTAATGCAACAGTTATGTAAGTCTTGAAGATTTTGAAAGATATCGTACAAATTTTGCGAGCTAAAGCACCATTTATTTTTGTATAGGAAAAACATATGATACCAACATAACTATTTAGAACATTCATGGGAGTCAGGAACACTATCTCATTGAAGTATGCTTTCAAAATAATCTTGCTTCAATTAGGACTTTTGAAGGTCGTAACGTGGTCTGGTTCATGGTTTTAGAAAAAAGGACTTAAGGCTCAAAATATTTGGTGCCCACCCCCTTCATGATGTTCTCCAAC